TCTTTTATTATTAAAACAATTAAGTGATGCTGAACGTGATGGCGATCCAATTGAAGCTAATTGTTTAGATCGATTCTTTAATCAATCAAATCTTGATATACCATTATTATTAGATTTAATTAAAAGTAATTTAGGACATACAGAAGGTGCAGCTGGTGTAGCATCACTTATTAAAGTTGCTATGTGTATGTATCATCGTGGCATTACAGCAAATATACAATTTACTTCACTTAATCCTAAAATAGATGCACAAAAATATAATCTACATATTGTTCAAAATTTTATACCATTTCCATCCGTTTCAAATAATGACAAAATAGCTATTGGTGTTAATTCATTCGAAACGGTTGGTTCAACGACACATTCTATTATTGAAGAATATCAACCAATAAATAAAACATCAATTCAAAATGGTCATATCGATGATGGAAATCATATTAAAAGCAAACAATATTTTATTTTTATTTTTTCAGGTAAGTTCTTTTTTCTTTTCATTCATTAAATAATGTATTTCTTATTCAGCGAAACGTCTTATCAATCTCTTAACGATCAATTAATGATATAGATGATGATGATGATCAAGCTTTTCTTCAACGTATATCTCAACAACTTCTTCTGAAAAGAACTATTAGTTATACACATTCAGCAATCTTTGTTTTTCTTAATCGTTAACAGTTACAAGAACGAATCAATGCTTTTCTTACTGAACAAGCATCACCAAGCCTTTCAATCATATCACGTCCAACAAAATCATTAGCACAGAAAATATGTTTTGTTTTTAGTGGACAGAGTCCACAATGGTGGGCTATGGGTAGACAATTATATGAAAGTGAACCTTTATTTAATAAATGGATTAATTTAATTGATGGTGAAATGACAAAAATTAATGCTGGTGAATGGAAATTGTTAGAAGAATTAATTGAAAAGAAAAATGAACAAGAATCTCGTATTAATAATACAAATATTGCTCAACCAATATTATTTGTTATACAAGTTGCATTAGCAGCTTTACTTGTTTCATAGAATATTTATCCATCATCTATAATATCACATAGTGCTGGTGATCAAGCAGCTGTTTTTGTTGCTGGTCGATTAACTTTAGGAGAAACTGTTCGTATGTTAGCTGTTTGAATAAGTGAAGAAGAAGTACAAAATAAACTTCTGAAAGGTATTGAACATTTGGCTTGTATTGCTGTTGTTAATAGTCCTCGTCGAGTAACAATAAGTGGTGATGAAAAAACTATTGATGAAATACAACAAATTCTTTCCATATCTTATCCAAATGTATTCAAAGCACGTCTTCGTATTGAAAATGCATTTCATTCATATCAAATGAATCGATTCGATATTGAACAAGAAATGCTTTCATTATTGAAAGATATTCGAGGACTTCCAATACAAGACCAAAAACAAATCTTCGATCCAATATGTGCAAAAGCAAAACTTTATTCAGATGTTACTGATGATAAAATCAATGATAATATACCAGTTGATAGTCAAATGTAAGACAAGTTGTTCGATTTTATGATGCTATAGCAGCAATTATAAAAGATGAAGCAGCAAATGTTTTTCTTGAAATTTCACCACATCCAGTTTTAGCTACATCTATTCGTGAATGTTATGAATTAACAAATCAACAATAATCATCACCATCACTTATTCTTCTAACATTAAAACGAAAAGAAAATGAACAAATAACATTACTTACTAGTTTAGCACAACTTACAACATTATCTCAAGTATGGCAACAATATTTTCATACTCGTCAAATTTCACCGTTGAAAAATCATGAAGAATATTTGGCTAATTTTCCATTATATAAATTTCATTTGAGTCCATGTTGGTATGAATCAAAAGATTCATCTATATAACGTTTAACTAATCATATTCAAACTCATCTATTACTTGGTATTCGTCAATTAAATGAACAAACAAGTGCAACATGGAAAAGTCTTATTAATATTAATTTACCACAACATGCTTTCTCAAAAGACCATAAAATTCATATTGTAATTTTTTTTCCTGGTTGTTGCTTATCTTGAACTTGCAACAGCTGCTTGTCAACATTTACTTTCATGAAAAGATGATGATTAACAACAACCAACAATTATTTTTGAAGACGTTAATTTTATTAAAGCACTTATTTTGAATGAACATGAATTAGTTGAAATATTTACACAAATAATTATGCCAATGCGTGAATGGTATATTTATAGTCGACCATGATCAACACTTGGTCCAGATTGCATGAGTTGTACTGATGTTATTGATTCATTTCGTGATGAAGATAATCTTAATAAATATTCATGAAATCAATTTACTTTATATGTTCAAGGTAAAATTGAAATAGATTTTAAAGAATAAAAATCATAAACAATACCTAATACGTGATCAACAGAAGATATAACAAGTGCTTATGTACATCTTTCAACACGTGCTTATCAATATGGATCTAGTTTTGAAAAAATCAAAACATTATGTGGTACTTCAACTACAATTATATCTCAATTATCAGATGATAATAATAATTGTTCATCTTATTATTTACTTCATCCATATCTAGTTCTATTACCAGGTATTGAAACAAAATTTCTTCCAGTACGTATTCAAAAATTTATTTATTCAAGTAAAACGAAAACAAAGATGAGTCAATCAACAAATGTTGAAGTACGTGGAAAGTATCATGATAATATATGTGGTATAGGTCAAGAAGAAATATATAATCTTGATTTATGGATATATCCAATGGATAATAAAATAGAAGAAACAATATTTACATTTCAAAGTATTGTTATTCAAGAAGTTGAAGATGTAAAATCTAGTCGATGGTGAATGGAAAACACAATTTATGATAAATTAAATCGAACAACTGATTTACCTAATGTTGATCATAAAACATCTTTAAATACAATTATAAAAGATTATTGTATGCAAAAAGTATGGACTGATTCACCAATAATAAAAGATATATTAAATTTACTTCCATCACCTAATCAAATTCTTAATAATCAACTTAATTCTATTAGTAATCAAGATTTAATTGAATCAATAGAACCATTTAATGAATTAGCTGCTTATTATGCTCAAATGGCAACTCAAAATCTTGATTTAAATCAACAACATCATCCATTATTAAATTCATGTCGTTCTCTTACTTCAACTTTACGTGAAGAAGTAACATGGCATTCAACACAACTTCGCCTTATTCAATTAATTGAGCGTTTTCCTCGTTTAAAACCATTATTAATAACATCAAATAAATATGGTATACATTTAAAATATATTCTTATTGGAGAAAAAATGGATTAGATGTATTTTTTGGCGATGATGATGAAATTGAAGAAACTTTTCAACAAGTTAAATTTCTTCTAAGTGCAACTAAAACACAACAAGTTTCTTATTCTATTTGTCAATATTTACAATTACAATATGAACAACAACAAACTAAAGATAATTCATTTCAGAATTATCGATTACGTATATTTTGGTTAACTGACAGTGATTGCTCAGATGTTTTACCCATTCTTGATCGTTTTCGTAATTTATCACAACAAACAGGTTTATTAATTGATTTACATTATACTGATTCTGATCCAATACAACTTGCAAATGCTCAACAAACATTTAATACACATCTAACAAATCAAATAAAAAATTTATCTATTATTTATGATGAAACAATTGATTTATATGATAGTAAAACATTTGAAAAAATACCAATAGAATCCTTTGATATTATATTTTCTACAAATCAACTTCAAGAAAATCAAGATTTGATAAATTCTTTAATTGATCTTCGTCGTTTACTTGTTCCTAATGATCTTCTTTTATTACTTGCATTAGTTCATGTTCCTCTTTATTTTGATCTTATTTTTAGTTTTATTGATCAATGCTGGTCATCATCATCTGATGATGATAATAATAATCGTGTATTAAATAATATTAAAAAATAGACAACATTATTAGAACAAATCCAAGAATTTAATTCTATTGAATCAACAATAAATCAAAATGAAAGTACATTTATTATTAGTCAAAAAACAACATAAAATGATATATTACAAACACTTGATGAACGAATAAATCAAACATGGTTAATATTTACTAAAGATGATAATAATAGTTTTGGTCATATTCTATCATCATTGTTACCATGTTCAAATATTAGAATTTTTGATATTCATAATTCAACTTTAGATATGGTTTGTTCTGTAATATCAGTTCTATTAACTACTTAGAAACAAATATCAATTATATTTGCATGACAACTTGATCAAACCTTACTTTATGAAATTGATGATGATTTAGCATTTGAACAAAATGAAGAACTTATATGTGGAACATTATCACGTATTCTTCAAACAATTCAAAAATCATCACCATATTTTTATCCATTTGTATATGTTCTTACAGATCATGCTCAATTTAATAATGATTCGAATCTTAATATAATTGTATCACCATTTATTGGACTTGCACGAAGTTTAATAACTGAATATGAACGAAATCGATTAAAACTTATTGATCTTCAAATATCATTAAATAATAATAATCAATCAATATTTCTTCATATTTTAATAG